AATTCCACTTCAAAGTATTTATCTGAAGAAATCCAATTTGAAAAGATATATGCCCTCCTATGTTCATTGCAGCATTATTTACAATAGTCAAGAGATAGGATTTTTTTTAAAAGAAAAAGCTGAGAAAAATGAAATAGGTTCAACTCTTTAGACACAAACTCTTTGAAGCTGTGGCTTCTTTTCCTTAAAACATTCAATCAGAGGCTGTGTAAGCATGGCTGGGGTAATGCAGTGGGCTCACTTGGGAGGGGTGATCTCAGGTTCTACAATTAAATCCTGCTTTTACATACCACTTATCTCATGGCCTAAGAGATAGTCAATGTCCACATTAAACTAAACTTTGATTTAAAAAGACTAATTTTAGACAATACGGATTGTACAATTAATTTTTAGTCTCCCATGAAAGTTATTATAATACATTTTCCTAGTTCTTGCTGTTCTATTCTGGAAGTCTTTCAGGATGTGATGGGTGGTGGGAAGTGTAGAAACATATATCTTGATGTTTCAACATATTTTACAACAGATGTTCCCCTAGGAGGTCAGTCCTATTTGTTTATAAAATGAGATCTTCTCTAATTAACTAGGAAACACTTCCCCCTGAGGTTTGGTTAGTTAAGTACCCAATCAGCAAATCTTTGATTTACCAAAGAAAAGTTCACATTTTCTCAAGACCTCCAAAGTGCACAGAATTTAAACTCCCCTGCAGTTATAAAAAAGAAAAGGCTATTTGTGTCTGAATTCTCTATCACCTGCCTGAACAATGAATGGCACACCTGGTGTCACCTGTTACCTGCCCTACTAGGAAGCAAACCAATCAAGCTGTCTAATGAATTTGGAAAGGCTAAGGCCAGGGGCTGAGGTCAGGAGGTCACAATTTCCTCACAAGAATATGGTCCTACTTTCTAGAAGCAGGATCCTTGATTTCCACTCCTTGGGGCTTCTCCTTAAAAAACAGGAGCAATAGTGACAGCAATAGCTTTATTTCTTTTTTACTTCTCTGGTCCCCAAATCACACGCTCTCAAAGTAGCAAAGCTGAACAGAAAATAATCTATTATACAACTCTTTTTGAGTTTGAATCAGCAATTTACCTGCACTTTTAAAGGAAGGAAAAAAATGAGCTGCCTAGAGCACTAAAAAAAGTGAGTGATTAAACCCACGTATGTGTGTCTAACCTCCTGGTCACTCAAGACAATTAACTGGGCTAAAACAAATCACCTAATTGGTAGTACCTTCCTACAGGATCAACCAAGGCCCTACTATTACCTATCACATGATGGAAATGACTGGAAAGGAAGAGCTGTGCTCCACAGCCTCCATCACTCCGCTGCCCGCCTTGTTCCCCAGGAAGAGCACTCAGTGAACATGCATCAGCGTTTCCTACAGAGAAAGCTTCCCTTTCCATTCTTTTGTTTCATCCCTATTGTTGCTGAGGGGCTTCCCAAGAAGCCAGGGCATCTGTCCTGCACACCATACTCCCAGTGAACGCTAAGAGCAGGAGGAGAGCTCCTCTCACAAGTATTAGGAGGAAGACCAGGGGTATGGCCTGCCCCAAACTTCCTGACACAATGCTGCAGTCACGGGTAAGGCCTGGCTACTCCCATGACACTCTGCCCACTCCCAGGGGACTGAGAGAGGGCAGAAGATTCAGCAGATTTGAAAGGAAGCCCTGGTTGCACTTGCCCCTGCTGATCTGACTCCTCGGTGGGTGAGGCGCACCCTGACTGGGGGAGGAGAGGAACTACTGGCTCTCAGCCTCTCCCCTGTAAACACATGCCCTGGGGTGAGCTGTCATAAACAGTGTGGTTAGAGGACATTTGAAGGACCAGTACTTTTTGAGAACTGCTTTCCAAACTATCTACACTCATTGGAACCCTTTCCCATTGGTACCAATGAACAAAATACCTCTTTCCTTTTAGGCTTCAGGCAGGCTGGTGGAAGCCACTGGGAGCAGCTTTTTCAGTAAAAAGTAAAATATTAACCCTCTCTCTGTAATCCAGAGAGGTTTAACTGGCCCCTTTCTGGCTCTCTTTTAAGGAAAGAATGGATATGCTTAGCTTCTATGGTCTTCAATGTATGAGAATGTGGTCCCACTCAGACATACAAAGGTGGATTGTATTCAGGTTTGTGGTATATCTAATCATCCACAGTGCATTCTCAGTACTAAAGCTCCAGTCCCAAATATTTACCTCTGAAAAAAGTAAATCATTGACCTTACTTCTGATGATACACACGGTATTATGAAGACAGACTATTCTTCCTTTTTACAATTCAAAGAATTTTAATCTATAGCATTCTGCTTCAGTAATGGAATTTCTTGATTGTTTCTAAATTTCTTATTTAAGAATTTAATCGTAACTAGTTTGCTTAACAATGGCACTTTAGTTTCACTGACAGAACCAAAACTAAAGCCTTGAACACAGTGTTAACCTCGGCACACACCATGAGGTGCAAAGGATCTTTTTGGATAGTTCTATCCTCTTTGGATGACTTTTTCAAGTCATTCAGCAAATATTGGATAGACTTAGAATAGAACACGTTTCTCACTATTTCCACCTTAGTTTGGAGAGTTGAGAAGTTTGAATTGATAAAGGCAGTGATGACACAGCTGAGCCTGACTCCCAGGCCTCCCAGCCTATCACCCGAGGAGAACCAGGGCAAGGTTCCCTCCTCGGAGCTCAAGTTTTCTTCTTCTACATCATGTGATTGCCTAGAAGCAATGTAACGACATGAGTATAAATCTTTGTGCAGCTTCTGGATGTAGGTGAGGAAAAAATAGTTGATGTGGCCATATTCCTTTAACTCCTCCCACATGTCTACCACATGACATTTGTGGGTAGTTTTTCTTTATCCCCAGAATTGTTATGAGGAAAGTCTGGATACTACCAATTTACTGATGTTCTGTAGTTCAAATTCTCAATAAAATAATAAAAATAAAATCTTTAGTGTAGTTTCTTTTTCCTACCAAAATAATAATGATACTACCACCAAACCAAAACCTCAAGTTCATTCCCTGAACATTAAAAAAAAAAAAAGAGTAAAGGGAGTTTGAGAATTGGATATGCTCCCTTCTCCCTCCCTCAAAATTAGTATGTAGTCTAAAAAAAAATCTCAAACTCTTTTCTTAATCTAGAAGAATCTATATTTTGTCTCTTGAAATTTTAAATCTTCCAAGTGGACAAGCTGATAGATGGTTTTTAAGTTTAATGACTCAAAACTTCATCAACTGTCCTTTCAAACTAATGGCCAGTGACACAATGGATTTAGGATTTATATACTTCTTCAAAATTAATTCAATAAAAATGAAAATGTTTTTCTGTCTTTGGGGTCTAAATATAAAAATGAACAGTTCATAGAATTACATGTATTTCTTAATTCATTTAAGAACTCAAAGAGTTAAAAAAATTTTCTATTAAGCAGTCTCTGTTCATTCAAGTAAACCTGTGTGCTTTCCAAACATTTAAGTCCAAACAGAGTAAAGTGACCCTGGGAATAAAACAAAAAAGACCATTCGGGGACCCATCCATTCTAATGAATCAAACAAGTAAAACAGAAACCTTCACATATGACAATGCTGCCATGGGAGGGGTCATGCCCTCATGGACCAAGAAGCTTGGGTAGACTATTAATCTTCCACAATTTTATTCTACTTAACATTTTTGCTAATGAGTACAAACCACTCACAGCTCCTGGACTGATCAGACTGTGTCAAAGCTGCATGGTGAGTGAGGATTTGCAAGTTAGAATTTTCCTGTCACCCTCTATAGTTGTGCTCCTCCCTAATGCTCTTATAATTCAGCAGAAAAAAGAATGTAAGAAAAAGAGAACACTCTTGGAGCAGATTTTGTTTTATAATAAAACCACCAGCGAGGCAGTTGGGTGGATGAGGGTCTTCTGAGTTTTGGACAACCCCCCAGTTATGTTACAGGCTGGAGTGTTGATATTCTGGCTCCATAGCCCCCTCTGCTCTCCTTGGCATAGTTCAAACAACATCCCCAAAGTGGCAGCCAAATCCAAACAACAGACAAAGCTCTCCACTCGGGCAGTTCTGAGCAGCATCCTGTATTCTAAGGAAGCTGCACTGGGGCAGGACATTTCCTTCTAGAACACTAGTTAGATCTGCTAGAACAGAGGCAAGAAGACACTTGTACGGCATAAATTCCACCGAGGAAGAGAACAATGGTGTGTGCTTAAATTCAAGCAAGCATTAAATGCACAGCGAGGTTCCACCCAGGGGGCACGGAAGGTCCCTGTAGGGGCCGCATGTCCCCAGCCCCTCCTGGTCCAAAGCTGCATTCCCACCACACTCACCTCGGCAGAGGTCCTGCTCTCCAGGAAGGGGGGCAGCCCAGTCAAAAAGGCAGCAATGACAGTGGCACTGGACTGACTGTTCTTCCCCTGACAGGAAGTACCTTCCGGTGCCTCCACCTTTTAACTGAAAGGTGTCACCAATGACAATTACTGCTGTCCGGTAATTGTATTATTGTCATCTGCTGTTCACAAGTTTCTGGGCGCACACCACACAGTCATACGGGTCAGTTCTACCTGGGACTTAAGGTCTCGCCACGAGCTTCCTGGCTTTCCTGTCCCCCAGATCCGAATGGGACTTTGTCAGTTACCCGTGAACACGAAGACAAGCCCAAACGCAGCAAGGAATCGGGGAAAGGGGCACCGGTCCCCAGCCGGCCCTCAGATACACGGTGTGATGCATTCATAAACCTGTTGTGCAGGCCAAGGGGGACTATCTGGAGTAAAAGCCAAACCAGTCCGTCCTGCTTCCTCGGGCTCGCAGGGGACGCAGGATGCGGATCCGGGCTGATAAGGTCTCCCTGGGCAACGCGCGGGCACCCACTTGGAGGCCACAGGGCCCGCCTGGAGTGGTCGCCAGCCAGGGCGACAGGAAGAGGAGGGCAACAGGCTGCCGACACCCCTCTGGGCTTCTCGGGAGGAGGGGGCGGGGGCGCTGCTACTCCGCGGTCACCCCGCACCCAGCCCCGCTTACCTGTTTCGGGGCTCTGCGCACGCAGCGGCGCCCTCGCTGCGGCAGGGCGAGCGGGCGGCCGGCGGTGTCTGCAGCCGCAGTCAGCAGGGCCCCCACCTCGGCGCCTTTTAACCGCGCCCCACCCCGCCTCTGCCCTGACGCTCCCGGGCGCACGGAGAGGCGAGCGTGCGGTGGCCAGCACGGGCCCGCCCCGGGCTCGGGGCGCAGGACAGGCCTCCCTGGCGGTGCAGGGAGTGAGGACGGTTTGGGGGGTGCGCAGGGCACTGGACGGGCTCCTCCGTTGCGGGGAGCCGAGTGCACGGGGAGGGCAGGACCCTCGCTTTCCCCTCCGTCGGGGAGCAGGGGTTGTAGGACAGGTCCTCCCTAGGGGGCGCGAGACAGAGGGTCAGCCAGGCCTGGTCCCTGGGGTGAGGTGGCCCGTGTCTCCCGCTGGGTGGCTGCTCACCCAGAACCCGGATGCCCTGGGGAGAGGGCTTAGGGGAGTGGGCCCACTGCCTGTGGCGAGGCTTCCAACCCAGGACCCTTTGGGATCAGGATCAAGGGCAGGCTGTGTTTTGCCAGGACAACATCGTCCTTGTTTTCTGTACATTGCCACCCTCTTGCAGACCACCGCTACTCTCACAAGGCCCTCTCCTAGAGAGCAGCCTGGAGGCACAGTGACTGTTTTTCTCTCAGTTAATGGCCACTTAGAGGAGTTAAAGGGATTATTTGTATGAGTTACCTCCATCCTTTGAAGCCATCCTAGGGGAAGCAGAGTGGGCCTCCCTCAGCGCCATCAGCCACCACGTGGAGACCCTGGCCCTTTTACAGACAGGGCTCTGGTGCCTAGGGTGGGCAGAGGGGCTGGTGCAGGGGCTGGTGGGGTGGAAATGTGGGAAGCTATTTAGGTACCGGGCTTGACAGATTCAGAGCCATCCTGACAAGAGATGTGTAACTTGCCTCTCCCACAGAATTGGTTGGTAATTTAAAATGTCCTCACCTAAACCATATGCTACTTGTTAGGTCATATTCTCTCATGCAACAGGTTTAGTGGTGGTTCTTAAGATGTCTCTTTAAGGTCGTGAAAGAAAAACCCAGACTTCATAAAGACCCACCTTCTGAAATGTTTTATTAGAGAATAGGTTCTCAGCCAACTACCCTGAGTCAGGTCAGTTCAGAACACTTTCAGGTGGCACCTGCAATGGTCTTGCAGGTAGGGGTGGAGAGACACAAATACCTGCTTTAGGCTTTTTCATTTGACAGACTTACTGCCTAATGTGTCCTGTGCCTTGAATGTTTGGCCAGACGTCAAGGTTGACTGGTTCTCTTCTGCGCCCCCCCCCCCCCCAGCTCCCCAGCCACAATATGGCATCTTCCCTGTCTTCTCGCCATTACTCCTCCCAAACAGACACTCCAGCCAGGCATATCTGCTTGCATAGTAAAATAAGAGCATTTTAAAAGCAGACTATATACTTATCTGGGGATTATAAACAGTTGAAGCCTTTCTTTGCATTCCCACAGCACCAGGTAAAATGCTTTGCACATAGTAGGTGATGCTCATGAGTAGTTGCATATTGATTGGCAAAACCCAGCCAGCATAACAGATAATCCTAGAAATAACTTTTGCTCCTGAAGCAGGACTGCCCATGTTTTCATGCCTACAGCTGGTGCCATACAACCCTATCTTGAGCACTGGCATTCGGGACCAATGGAAATTGTTGTAGGACCAGTTCAGAAAAGAACTTTGAACCAAAGTAGCCACAGAGAATATGTTGCATTTGCTCAGCTGTCCAAAAAAGGAACTATCTAAAAATTGCAAAAATATCTCTTTTCCTGTCCAGGTTATAAATACTAGCCCCATGGTGCTGGCTTTTTATTTTATCACACATTTCTTAACATTTAGTCCCATTATTCAGTGTTCACTTCTCATCAGATGGTCCTGTTGCAGCAGAAATTAAATATGGACTATGTGAGAGTTACTGATTTGCTGAGATCTTCATTTGAAAACTGAAAAGTTAATTAAACATTTTATGTTAATGACATCCAAAGGCATCTAGACTGTTGACTGCTTTGTTGACTTTGTGTGCCAAACATGAAAAACTTTCAGGAGATTATTATAACCCTACTGTCCACTTACAGCATCACATAATTCCAAAAACAAGACTTTTGCTGACCTGGTTCTGATTGGTGACCTAAAATTATTTTGATTGGTATCCTCCCTATGCATCTGAAGGATGATTTCTGAGTCCATACATTTAATCAGCACAAAATGTGTGAAGTGTGGATTTCCCGTTGCCATACCAGGAGGTTTGAAGGAATGATGATAAGATTTCCTTTTGGAAATCTATAAATTCTCAGTGCCTTTACATAAAGAATGAAGGAGACTCCACCCCTCTCCCATTAGCAGTGACACACACTCACAGAGTGACCAACAGTCGAGTTGCAAACACAGCACAGGGACACTTCCTTGTAACCAACATAGTCCTGGACATGTGGAAAGAGAGAGAACCATGTGCTCCCCTTAAGTAAAGATGAACATTTTGTCTCTGCTCAACAAAAAAGCTTGGATTGAGCAGGCTTATGTTAGGCTGGGCAAATGAAGGAAACAGTTCTTGTCTTAAGTTTTCCAGTTTGATTTTCAAATCTGTGTGCAAAGGTCAGGTGAGATGCTTTGAAAGGCTAACACAACACGGCACAGGTTGCTGGGAATTGAGTTTCGTGGGTCTTGCTCGGGGGAGCCCAGGAACTGTCATTTTTATTAAGTAGTATCTTGAGTATTGCTGATATGGGTGGTCTGAGAACCATACTTAGAAACATGTTAATTATGGATGTTCTTTGCTTTCTGATTTTTAATGATAGTAAAAAATACATATAACATACTGGTAAGCTCACCTATTTAACCATTTTAAATTGTACACTGTACAAAGTTGTTTGGTATATTCACAGTTGTGTAGCCATTACTACTATTTAGTTCTAGAACATTTTCATCACCCCAAAAGGAAAGCCAGTACCCATTAAGCAGTCACTCTCCGTTTCCCAGCCCCTGACTACTATTCTGCTTTCTGCCTCTATGGATTTGCCTATTCTGCATATTTTTATAAACAGGGTCATACATATGTGGCCTTTTGTAGTCTGGCTTCTTTCATTAATCATGAGGTTTTCAAAGTTCATTCATGTTGTAACATGTGTCAGTACTTCATTCCTTTTAATGGATGAATAAAATGTGATATATCAATACCACATAATGCTTATCCATTCATCTGTTGGTGGACACTTTTGTAGTCTTGGTTGTGATTGGTGACATGAAATTCATTTGGTTATTGATGAATTCTGAGGTGTGTGGCAGGGATTAATGGGATTAATGTGGTATGCCCACATGACAGGGGAGACGGGCTGGCCTGGCTGAAACCGGGCTTGCTTTGGGGACTAGATGGACAGAGTGGTCAGGCAAGGCCAGAGTGGGGAGACTACCAGTCAGGAAGAGGAATTTAGACTGGCTGTGAAATGAGGAGAGGGAGAACAACACCCTTAGGTGACTCGAATCTGGCAATTTTAATGAATCCACGTTCATTGTGAGTTAGTGTGATGTGACTGCCTAACAGCCATTGTCATTTTGGGTGCCATCAATAGAAGTTTGGTGTCTCAGTGAGGGATCTGCTTCTTCCCTCCTTTCTAAGCTGCCAGGTCCCACCTAGTATGAGCTGGCAGCTATTGAGCCACTTACACCCCCCTACTTTTCTAACTTTTAACTTTTTGAGTATTAATGTAATATCTCTACAGAAGACACAACTGCAGACAGAACAAGCAGTGCGTTTCTATCAGGGGAAGAGTCTACTAAAGGCTGAATGACCCTTAACCAGGTGCTGTCTAGATATGGGTTGGACTAAGTGGCTTTCCGATCCTGAGAAACACCAATGACACAGTCACCACTGAGGAGAGGAAAAGCTGAGTCAGACATTTGGTTTTGGTCCCGAATGATCTAGAAGAGAATCACATTTCTTGTCTACTGTCAAAAAGAGATGTTGGTCAAGGAAGCTGACTTGAGTGATGTTTGGAAACCCTGACCAGGGATGTTAGCAAAATGTCATAGGTGGAACATGACTGTATGTCTATTGAACTCTCAATCTGGGAGTCCAGTCTTGTGTCTGACTGGATTTACCCCTCACTCCTGTCTACTCAGTGTTGTCCAGGTCCTGCACTTTTCCCAGCTGTGCTCAGAATCATTTCCCCCTGTCATGGACTTGCTTGTCCACGATCCTTCCCTGGTCCTTGCTTCTTTCCAAGTGCTCCTAGAGGGTCTTTCCTTCTTCTGCTCACCCTGGTCCCTGCTTTCCTACTCTGCAAGTTCGTTCTCCCTCGCCCCCTGTTATAGTTGTATACATAATTGCTTTACCTTGCCTGCAATTATTTTCTTAATTGGTTAAGACATTTCAGGACAGAACTCATACCTTACTTATCTTAGTCCCTCCCCCCACCTAGGACCACCACCCTATGAACAAGCCACACCCCTGCTTCTGTATAATTGACAGAGAAAACCAATCAACTTCAAGAGGTGTCAAGTCAGTACACAGTTGCTGATTGAGAGAGTGAGTTCTCTAAGAAGGACATGGTGGGGGAGAAGGTGGGAGTCTAAACAGTGAGCCTTACAGAAAAGAGGAATGGGAGCCAGTAATGGGAGAGAAAAGAGGAGAATGAAGAGGGGGAAGGCTAGCCCAGAAAAGAGGCAGAGAGTGATGGTGCAGCTGATGGTTGGGTATAGAGTATCCAGAGAAACAGAGCCAGTAGAGGGGAAAGGGGGAGAGAGAGAGAGCGAGAGCGAGAGAGAGAGAGAGAGAGAGAGAGAGAGACTGGGACATTTTAAGGAATTGTCTCTAATTGGCCATTTTCTGTTTCTGCTATGGTTGGCCAATCCAAAATCTGCATGGTTAGCCATCAGGTTGGATATCCAGGGAAGAGTTTATGTTGCAGCTCGAGTCCAAAGGCCATCTACTAGCACAACTTCCTCCTCCTCCTCCTCTCACTTCCTTCTTAAAGACACGGTTGGGTTAGATACAGAGGTCCCTCTTTTTTTAAAAAAAATATTTTTATTGACTTCAGA